TATGGATACATCAGTTTATATGGGACTCCCGCGAAGGGGTCCTGGAACACCCGCTTCCAAAACTCCCTCGAGGTCATATCCATATACGCGGCATCAGATAGCTACCCCCCCCCCCCCCCCCCCTCATTGGCGATGAGACATTGGCCCCCATGAAGGGGCCACGCAACCCAGGCTCGCCTGACAACCGCTTAAGACTAGCATGTCGATCAGGCCAACGGATCGTCAGCCTCAAGGAGTCAAGCTCGTATCCATTTGCGAGGCTGTGGCATGGTCTTTTTCTTTTCACGATCATCCGCTCAGTTGTGGGTGACTGTTGGACGACATTCCCAGTCTTTTGACTGTGTCACAGTGGGGTTCTTTATTCAGAGAATGCGCCATTGCAACAGTAGGCGCCGACGCTCCCTCGGCGCATACTCCGTAAACTTCTGGTCATCCACGTCCGCTGCTTTGTCTCGAACTCTCCGCCAGTTTTATCTGCACGCGCACATCTGGCTTCTGACGGTGGGCGCTTCGTGTTCTAGCGTCTGCTGTCGCTCGTGTTGATTGGGAGACTGCCCGTCATTGATACCCATTCTATACTTGGTAACCGTCCGGAGCTGCGCCATCCCAGGCTTACTCTTTGTTGGCTAGACGTTTTTTCTTTCTTTCTTTTAGTCCATGTACAGCCCACTTTGTACAATACTTTCCCCTCTCGAGTGGATTCCCTTTTCTTTTCCTTCATTCTGACGTCTGTCGCGGCTCGCAGGCTATCTACTATGGAGAGATCGGAGAATATCCTTTCATCTTCCTGTTGATAGACTTACCTGGTATTGTATATAGTCACGTTTTTGTGAGCTTCATGATGGACTATAGCCACTGACTTGGTACCTAGGAAGTAGATCTACCTAACGTCGACATCTCTTCTCAGCTGCCGTATACCTATCCACTCAATTTGATACCCTTACCCAATATACACATAGTATATACCATCATCTACACATCTCCGATTACTGAATATCATCACAATCGAGATGGAGAAACCCTCCCTGGCAACGGGAACACAGCGAATCGGCCATCCCGACAGTCCCTATCACCCGTCATATATGACCTCAGCAACGACCGAGGAAGCGCACCGCTCATGGACGACAGCGTGGGAGTCGCCTCTTGCTACGGATATACCCTCGATGGCGACAACATCTTCCCCGACCCCACAGACCGTATCTACCACCAGCCCAACACCCGCCGCAGACTCTCTAGATGGAGTCGATGGAGCAGACAACGACGCAGGAAGGGGAGGAGGCGGCATCCCGACCACGACGAAAGTCGCGATTGCGGTGCCAGTGGCCGTTGTCGGAACGATCATCCTCGCTGCGCTGATATTCTTCCTACTAAAACGCCGCCAACGGAAACAACCCAAGAACGTCCTGTCCTCGCCGTCTCAAACGGAAATGAACCTGGGACCCGCCAGCTCCCACCAGCAATCTCGGGCTCTCTGGACCCCTACGCCGCAGCCAGCGGAGAATTCGGCGGCGTTTGCAGCGGCGTCCATCCCGCGCCGGCCGGTGCCACAGACTGGGAACCAAGAGATCCCAACTCAAGGGCCCGGGCGGAGGGGCATGTCGTCGGAATCAGGACGGGGCCAGAGTCGGTTCATAGAACATGAGAACCTGACCGATATGCCTAGAGGCGCTCCGGTGGTGATCGCTGCGCAGCGGTCTGGGACTGACCAGGGTCATTCGCAGGGACGTCCTCAGTCGCCGTTCGATCACCCGCTAGACGATGCCATGTCGGACATCTCTGAGCTGAGCGATAAGCGTTTATCGGCGCAGCGGCGAGGGCTGGACGATGATGTCTCGTCCGTGTCGTCGTTTGAGGATGACGATCATCGGGGGCGAAATACTTGATCGTTTCGTATGTTAGTAGCAGGCTGAAGGTACTGGATGTTGTTTCGCAAATACCCACAATTCGATGACAAGATATTCGTAACATATACGAAGCGGCTCGTAATGGCCTACTTGATCAACAGTAGCTCTGCTGTCTCGGTTAGATCCTGCACTCCACCATATATGAGAATACGAGATCGTATTCCGGTTCCTCCACTGCCAAGTCCGCAGTCTGCTCCCGTCTTGTCGATGCCACGACCTCAACCCTAGAGGCACGGCGTCTTGACATCCAACTCCGAAATGCATATTTCAGCACCCACTCTATCAACCTTTCCCCAAGAGCTTATTTCAGAGATATGTGGGTATCTCGCGGACCCCCAAGACCGCCTGAACCTGGTCTGCTGCTCGCGACGCTTCCAGAAAATATTCCTGCCCCTGCTCTACCGAAACCTCCAGAGCGGCGGAGAGCTGCGCCGCCCCATCACCCAGCTAGTCAGCACGCTGGCCACGAAACCAGCTCTCGCGGCATGTGTGCAGACACTGCATCTCTCCCCCTGGGAGACGTACCTGGGGTACAACTCCGTGGTTGAGGACGCACTCCCCCTCTGGAAAGAAGGGCTCCGCATCCACAGCGAAGACGAGCAAGACGATGACTCGGAGGACTCAGAGGACTCGGACGACTACAACGTCCATCTAAAAACATTCGATTTCGGTCCCCTACACGACCACGCGAAACGCGCAACCCGTACTGACGACGAAGCCTCTTTCTGGATGAGCGAAATCAAAAAGGGCAACGCAGACGCATGGATCGCCCTGCTTCTGACCCTATTGCCGGGCCTCCGCCGCCTCGACGCGGAATTCCCCCACGGCTCGATCTGGCCTCACACCGTGCTGAGGTGGGCGGTAACGGGATGCCTTGGCTCAACCCCGGCGTTTTCGGCACTCTCGGAGGTTTATGTGGACTGGGATAGTGAGGGGACTAGCGTCTGCGCGAAGCACCTCATGCCGTTTTTCCTGGTGCCGTCGCTGCGCAAGCTCCACGCGAGGAATCTTCAAGGCGGGTCGTGGTATGGGTTTGACGCGATCTCACGCACAAAGGAGATCAGCGGGACGTCGTATGTCGCGCATATCGAGCTTGATGGGTGCGATGGGGATGTCGGGTTGTCTCAGTTGGTGGGCGCCTGTGAGGATCTCCGGTCTTTCAAGTACAGCCACCGCAGCTGCGAGGGATTCGATCCACGGGGTTTGTATGAAATTCTTCTCCCGTTTCAGAGGACTATGGAGACTATCTGGATTGATATCCAGGAGGCCTGTCCTGAGCATGAGGACGAGCACCGCTGCGATGAGGTGCTCCCTTCGTTTAGAAACTTTACGGCGCTGAAAACACTCCATCTGCGGTTGAAGAACATGTCAGTCATTGCGCCCTCGTCTGAAGGCCTTTCGGGGACGTCGTTCGCCCAGGCGCTTCCACGTTCAATTAAGATGCTGCAAGTTGTCGACACGGGTGACTTGGGCGAACTCCAGATCTTTGCACAGAAGCTACAGGATCATGTAGATCATGACTTGGATCAGACACCCGCGCTGACACGGATCGACTTTAAACCATTCGACGGCTTGCCAGAGAGGTCGAAATTGATAGAGAGAATGGTCAGGGCCTGCAAGAAAAACAATATCGAGCTCCATGTCTGTGATGTGACTGAAGACCCAAGGATGTGGGGTGCTGCAGGATTTACACCTCGTTTGTGATCATGAGGAGCGATAGAGTTATTCTTGTAAGGCTATCTTATGACTTAGATCTCTTGTCTGAAAGACGAAGACAACTGTATATACCACCGATTCTCGTCTTTCGTCCCCAGTGGCATACTCCCCAGCCAGATCTTTTTTGTTTCTTGAGCCTCTTGAACAAGGCATTAACTAATTACCACTCAGTGACTGTCTGTCTGTCTGCCTACAGAGAAACTCTTCACGCCATGAGATGAAACCGGGTCAGTTCTGCCACCTCGAGGCTGTGTTCTGGATACAAGAATGAGTGACCCCTAAGCGGGTGCTCCCAAGGCCTCCCCCAATACAAGGAGGGTATGAAGAGATCCCTGGGCTGCAGGTCTGCTGCAGGGCATGTTTTGCTCCACCCAGTAGGATGATCTCCTTTACTTCCGATATTTCGTCTGGCGGAATGTCAAGTGGAGAGACGTTATAGTCAAAAGGTGGCGCTCCGTCGTCAGCCAATAGCTTTTCCTCTTCTGGGACTAAGGCGGACTCATCTTGTCTTTCTTCTTCGGGAAGTAAGGCAAACAACCTAGCAATCGTCGTCAATGGCCTCTTTCACCTTCTCCGAAGTACCGGAGGAAGATACCTTATATTCTTGGTCGTCTCTCCCTCCATCCCCAAAGCCAGTTCCAGCCATGGCTTGGTCGGCATCGCTGGTCTTTGAGTTTCTTGCATTTATTCTGGCCATTCCTCCCTCTGTACTGGCCTTGATGAGTTTATACGAACTCCTTCTACCCCGTTCTGTCCGTTCTCCGTTACAAGAAGCATTGCCTATGACCTCCCAAGACATATTCCGACCTCAACATCCTCCCTTCGAACTCCTGGGGAGTCTCTCTGTCGCACGTCATATGGAAGCCTGGATTACCCGGCTTTATCAAGTTGCAAGTACGTTCTGTCATATTCTTCTTTTCTCAATTCTTCGTATCATCTCCGTTTTCTCTACTGCGTTATTAACTTCATTCTATTCATTTCCTTTTTCTTTATTTTTCTTCAGTTTCCTCCAGCTTACTTAGATAGTAGCTGCAATAGCCTTGAAATCACTCAGCCACTTCAGGCGGACTCAACATCAAGGAGTCCAACAACTTTCCAACAGCGAAGAGGTCAATAACCATAGGCGCTTAGAGACGGTCTAAGAACTCTGTACTGACATACGCACTTTACAAGTGAAATCCATGTCAGAATGTGATTATCTACAGACTGTTATATAGAACAGGGACCGCACAGGCCGGGCCTCTGATATGGTAAAACTTACCTACCTACGTACTAGGTATACTGTCAAGTATTCTTAGTACACAAGTGTAGAAGTTGGATGGTTCATGTTCGGGTTAGCTCCATCTATGTAAAGTAAAAGTTCTATCTTCTAATTCAAGGCTCTAATTGTCTACTCACTGGTATGTGAAGAATTAAGGGAATTCCCCGCCTTAATTCCACACATCCTGTAGCTTCTAACGGTTCTACGTAATCATCTCAGAACTAACATTGCTACCACCACAACTACTGGATTCTCAACACCCAGGTCTGGGACAGCCTGTTTCAGTCGCCCCCGGTCACAACATCAATGTTAATCCCACACGTCAACCCAACGTGCAACCACGGTTCATCGGCTAATGTGACCACTCCTCGAGCAGGGGTTCCCTAACGGAAGAGATGTATGAGTATCGCAAGACTTTAACAAAAGTCTTGCTACCGCATCTTCACGTTGTTTCCATTCTGCCGCTACCGCCTTGATCATTTCTTCAGAGACTGGTAGGCTTGCTCCATAATGATCGAAGAGATGCTGCAAGCTCTCAAGCCCAGAGTAACTTTTATTTGCTGCTGCTGCTGCTGCTGCCTTCAGCACCTTTTCAGATACTGGTATATTTTGTCCATAATACTTGAGAAGCTGCCGGAGGAGCCCATCTCCATGCCTTTCGTGATTTGCTGCTGCCACCATGACCACCTCTCCAGAGACTGGAAAGCTTTCTTCATAACCCTCGAAGAGGATACTTGAGATAATATGTCCACAGCGCCCATAATCCTGAACTGCAACTCTTCCCGGGAGGAAAGATCTTCTTCCTGCTATAGAGCCTGCTCAATTGCCGCACTATGATTTCTGCATAGCTCTCTTGCTTTGCGCAGCTGAAATTCATGATCCACGTCATTTATCCTGCCTTAGATAGCATATTCTGCAATGCTCCTTCTTCGGAAACCCCTAGCTCTGAGATCCGCATGGTAGCATCTACCATGCCAGATGTTGTATGGTTCAAGCTTTGCTCGGCTTCCCCATGCTCTTCATGATAGTTCAGCGCAATATCAATGAGCCTTGATAGACTTTGTGGATCGGCCATACATTCAGATGAAGATACTAGAACCAGATGGGCAGGTGTCGAGGTGCTCGTAGATTTTTGCTCAATAGGGTGTCGTCCTTGAAAACACCGTGCCGGATTCATTTGCACCGCGCGGAAGGTATTAACCCGAGGGAGGATGCGAATGGCCTGAATCCGGCCAAGTTAGCCAGCAGGATGATCACGGACAAGAGGAGCTTGTAGTAGCCAGACGTCCACATCCTCGTCTGCTCACGGAGAAAGGAATCCCGACGAAGAGAGCGTGAGTGAGGGGGGAAGACTTGGCCAAGATCCGGGGTCAACGCTGTCGAGGATCGTCGGCGGAGTACTATTATGCATGATACAGATGGATCTTGGCGCTTGTACTGAAGGATGGGGTATAGCAGACGTTCGATGTGCAGTAGTATTGTAGATAGTCTAGATGACACGGTATATACACCACCCGGATCATCTCCCTCCGCCAAAGTCAGGCTTGTATGCAATCACTTTCCCTCTCATCAATTCCCTCAATGCCATGGTGGCATATTGACTGGACCCGAGCTGGAACTTGAGGACGACCGCCAGTTTATCGGTAGACTCGGCGGAATCTGTCTCTGTAACTGTAGACTCAGCTGCCGTGGGGTTCAATTTCTCCAGGTCCGTCTGGACAAACTGTTCATCGTCCCTGGAATAGATCTTGACCTCAGAAGAGTACTCCGGGCCCATACGACTCAGGATCTTCCGATAGCCACCGCTCAGACTGACCTCCTTCCATTTTCTGCGCATCTCAAACGGGCTCAGTCCGCCGCCCTGCTCGCTGCCCATGAACCGCTTGTAGAAGTCGGTCATGGCATTGGCCGGATACAACACATCGTACCCGGGAAGAGGAAGCACAATATCAAAGATTGAGTACTTGCCGCTGGCGGCTTCTTCGGCCGTGAGAGCTCGCGCGCGCACAAACGCATCCCCCGCTTTGTAGGAGCTATCATTAGCCTGAGGTGCAATGATCACCTCGCCGTCGGCGTCCACTTCACCCGTCGCCGGCGCAGACGAGGGTGTTTTGTCCTCGTGCTCATGGATCAGGACCAGGTCTCCCTCGACGACCTTGTCGCCGTACAGCCGCCAGCGTTCACCAACGGCAAAGTTCCACACCAGCGACTGGTAGGCGTGAACATACATCAACCGCAGGTTCCGTGGGATTGTCTGCAAAGCGCCGAGATAGTCGTTCTTCTGCCGGCTCAAGTACCGCATCAAGCAGGTCTCCGCGGAGAACTTGCGCGGCATCTTCTCAATGGCTTCCGCGGCATTGCCCGTGGTCTGGAACAGGTGGATGGCTTCAGCACGGGCCTTGTCATCGGAGCTTATGGGAGCGGTCGAGTGTTCGGTTTCGCGGGCTGCGGCGAGGATATGTGGGCTGAAATGAAGAATGGCTTCGCACGCGCCCTTGAAGTCACCCTGGAGCATCTTCACGCCAACGGTGTCGGTCCGGGTGGAGAACGTGCCGAACCGCTGCAACCCGTAGTAGTTGAAGTAACCGCGCTCGCGCAGGCTCTTCAGCGCAGAGCTCACGAGCTCGGACGCCTTAGAGACAGCCGCCTCGCGATCTTGAAGATCCACGCCGGGGATTTCGCATTCGCGGAGAGACACGACGAACTCGTTACCCGCAAGGTCGCCCAGCTCGAGGCCATGCGGAAGATACTCGAAGTCGCCCAATCGCGCATTGCGCAGGGTGGAGTTGAGTCTCGCAAGGCGATCGACATGCACGCGATAGGCGCACGCTCTCTGGGCGGTGACGCCACGGCGGTCCTTGGTGCCCGCGAACTGGAAACCCTTCGGGTTCATCTTCAGCTGCCGCGCGATGAACGAAATGACCTCCATCGTGTCCTTGTTCTCCTTGTAGATGGTGAAATGGAGGTAGGGTCCGCCGACGTCCTCCCAGTTGAACCGACCGCGGTTCTGTCCGTTGCCGGGCCCGCGTCCACCTTGGACGGTGCGCTTGTGCCGGTTCGAGGCCACCGACACAGTCATCAGACCCTCGCTATCGGTCGAAGAGTCGAGCTGGGAGCCGAAGATGCGACGGATGGCCTGGTGGATCTGAATGCGCCGGTCGCGGTCGTTGACGACCACGGTGGGGAGCTTTCCAAGATCACTCGGTCGAGCCTTGGGGTTCTGCTGAGCGCGGTTGTATAGCGACACAAGCTTTGGAATGTAACCCGCGCCGAACAACTCAGTCAACAAAGCCTTGTCTTCCTCCGAGAGCTCGAATTGAGGGGTCTCTGACTTCTCAGCGTTGTCAGAAGCACCTTTCTCGCCCGCGGCTTCGGGTTGTTCCTCTTGCTTCTTCTCCGCCGGTCGTTGCTCTGCCGGCTGTTGCGCCGCGGCGTCAGCGGAGGCAGACTGGGTTGCATCGAGGTAGGATTGCGGGATGTCGGTGCTTCGCAGGTGCAGGACTTGGCCGGAGGGCAAAATTTCGTTGACGAGGAAATCGGTATATCTATGAGAATACCATTAGTCTGTAATGTTGAAACGTTGTGAATGGAAATACCTTTTCTTCAAAATCCCTGTGAATCCTTCATTGTCTGCGCTGACGAATTCCGTGATGCCCACCTCCGCTTCCTTCAGAGCTTGCGCATCGCCGTCGGAGATCTTAGCGGAGGCAGTCTCCTGCACCGCAGGCTGAGTCGGAGGGGCAATTGTAGCGTCTGTAGAGTCGTTGTCGGTCTTGAGTCGCTTACGCGGCGACTCCACGACATCAATTCCGTCCATTGTAGTGGTGGTAGGAAGGTGGATGAGGTGGACGAAGATGGTAGAAAAAGGCGGCCGAAGCAGATTTCAATTGCGGACTTGGCGGGGTGCCTCAGGCAAACTTACATAGTCTCTACAATCCATGTATACACCCATTTCCTGATGCTGTTGGAATTATATGTGATATTTATTGATAAATATAATTAGTACTCTTGTCTTCTATTGCCAGTGACAGCGGTCTGGACCTCCATCACGGAAAGCTAGTACCAGCGACCTGTTATATCATCCTCCAGGAATGAGTTGACCAAACTCACCCCCCCTGCCAGCACACCACTTAAGTTCCGCACAATGGTCATTTTCTCCCATGGCCGTATCGCCTACTATTGGGGTTCGTGACGTTGAGAGAAATGTGACCTTCTACCTGGTTTGGAGAATTACTATGTGCTCGGAGCACTCACCACTCTACACAACACTTCGTGGCTCGTCGGCAAATGCTGTTTATTGGATCTATTGCAATGCGTAATTCTATGTACGCTCAACATGTATTCCGTCTCGTGATATTCATGCGTCATAATGTCATTCAGTCTTCGTTAGTGGGGGTGGTCCAGGACATGGTGGGACTAGGATATCAGGCAGACCTGGTCTGGTGGCTCCATTTCCAAACCAGGTGGTTTCCGACTCCGAAGGGTGACCAAACCCACTGGCTCGACAGAGCCACCCTCCCATGCCGTTTTGATGGATCGTACAGTGTTCCACACTGCATTTCTGGCCTCTGTCCGTCCATGCCCGTGGTTGAGTAAGGCTTCGTAAGGAGTGTGATTGTGTCGAATGTACGCCTCGACGGCGAGATTGGCTTTCTGTGCATCCGATTTCGTTGCCGTTCGTCCCACACGGCCGGATCCCTTAAGAAACGCATGATCGAGGATTGTCTCCAGGGAGTCTTCAGGCATAAGGGGGAACTGGGTGCGAAGGAGCTGCCGGGAGTTGGCTAACTCCCGCTCATCGCGGAGCTTGACGGCATTGGCACGGGAATCGGCTGTCGCGGCTGCTGATTGAGAAACCGCTGCATAGATGTCGGAAGGCACTCGGAGGCCAAGCGGCCTTTTGCCGGATTTGTCCTGAAACCTGTTAGCATGGATGATGCTGTGGGACGGAAAGGCCGTGACGGCTTACATAGACAGCGTAAACCGTCCGCTGAGACTCTTTAGTCTTGACTCGGCAATGGCGCGTAATGTAGACATCTCCTTTTGGCACGAAAGTATAGCCTTCCGGAATGGGTTGTCGTTCGAAACAGCTCTGGCGGGTCTGTTAGCGCATCAGCTGCAAGAGTGGGCATGTAGGACCAAGGATGAGGGCTCGTCGGGAATGAAATGACTGCGCGACATACTTTTTCGAGCGGGTCGTTTGAAGCCGGAAGCACGCTGAACTTGGGCGAGTTCCAGTTTCGTTTGGATCTGTTTCCCGCGGGTTTGCTGGATCTCCCAAATGGGCTCCTGCGCCCTGTCCCTCGGCCTCCTCGGGGGGCGAGGCTGTTTTTGCGAGGTTGGGGGGAGCGAAGCGACTGGAGAGACCGGGGTGAGAAGCGCGGTCTTGTGCGACTCTTCCTGCGGCCAGCCGGAGAGTTGGAGATCTTTTTCCGGGACGATCTGTTTGCCGCGGCCATAGTGTTTTATGCCAGCGAGCCAATGGGAAACAGGTTAAAGAAAAAGAGATGTTTCTAGACTAGGAGATAACAGGAGGCTCTGGGAGGTCGACTGCTATCAACATCGGCGGTCCGCAGTACCTTGGAGGGGTGAATCGTCGGCCGATGCTGAAGGGGCTGATAATGACATGGATAGGCGGGATTGAAAGAAATCAGTCCTGCCCATGGCGAGAACGCATGGATATCGGTTGAACGATGGATGAAGCCGACGAGGAGATCTGACAGATGAAGATGAGCGAAGGACGAAAAGAACTTGGAAGTATTTCTGCCCAAAAGAGAAATCGGAAGACCGCCGATCATCCAATCGGGGTGTGGCGGTGTGTGGAGGTCCTGTGGCGGTGCGGTTTCTGCCTGAGGCATAGAAATATGGGAGGCTGATCAGGAAAGGAACTGAACGCGACCATGTGAGTGCAAGTCGTTGAAGTGTCTAACAATAATACTACTTCTATTCCGACCATATATACGTCCTAGTACACCAAACATCCTCTTTGTGAAGAATACGGGTCAGATAAGGTCGCAACTACACCCCATACCCCCCTCATGTCAGCTACCTAGGTACAGACAAGGGATAGGATGGATCGAGGCGCCTTGCTGATGTCTCCAACTTTAAGCCCGTCGTCTGCAAGACCATGTCAGGGGGAGTGGGATTATTCGTCTCCAGTCTGCATATACATGCAGCCTCTCTCCACTCGGTTGTCGACCACCTGCATCCCGCTCGATCAGAAGGAGTCAACCCCATAGAGGGAGGAGATAGATATGGTCCAACTATCAGTCCCTTGGTCGTCGACCGTCGCGACCTCGCCTCACCCAAAAGGGTAATATTAGTCCCGCGTCCAGCTACTCCGCGAACAATTCCGACCAGCGATCTCGTCATTTCGACCTGGCTGGAGCTGAAAATGGACCCAAGCTGGGGCTAACAGACACCGCAGGAGTGACTAGCCGGGATAAGGAATCGACCCGTCCAGGAGAGCCCCAATTTTCCCTACGGAGTACAATCTCGTGGTTGGATCGGCGGTCTCAAGGAGACTGGGGTGATCGCAACCCTATGAATGAATGATTTTTCCTCTGCCTCTTTTGGGACACCCCATGGATCCGATGCAGTTTTCATCAGAGACACTCGTTCTCCATTGACCAGAGATACACAAGATAAGAACAATCTTCACCAAGGACCGCGGGCATAGAGTCAACCAGTGCGTCAGCAACAATCGGTCGTGCGGGCGATGACGATGGAGCCAGACGATCCACGGAAATGGACCGTCGTTCCTTGTCGTGGGAACCAATGACGACCATCCACGCTAGGTATCGCCGTCGGGATTCTCTCCATCGAGCGAGATCAATCATCTTTTACGAATCCCCGGTCTGGACTTCTCCTGAATGATGAGATTTCTTGGTCTGTGGGTGTATTATTGCACCTCCTCCTTTTCCCCTCCTTGTACTCGCCCTTCTTTGCGTTTATGAAATGAATCGGTTGGATCCATCGGGTCCAGGGGACCACTGTGTTGGCACCTGCGACGAGAGCCAAACGAGAGACCGAATCCTGGAAAGCCCCATTCTCCTCCACTCAACGGTCTCGGGGATTTCTCACGGGATTGAATTCAATCCTGGGAGGTCGTTGACTGGCTGACGTGGAGAGATTCGGGCGAGCTGAAGTCTAGGATTCTTGCATGGACAGGCGATTCGATGAGGCTGACCTTGAATAGCACTCCGTACCTACCTACCTAGTAGGTAGTTAAGGTAGTTGATGATACAGTAAGTAGTACATAGTACCCAGATACTCCGAGTAGAAGAATCAACCCAACAGTGGATCGGGCGGATCTGAAGGCATGGATTGACTCTATTTATTATTCTTATTATTAAATCAGAATCCGCATAAAATTCAGAGAATAAAATCGACCCGAAAAAAAACCCAGATTAAAAAAAATCCATATTATTACCAAGAGAGAAAAACGAAAACAAAAAATTCCTCTCCTTCTCCCTTCTTTGTTCTTCCCGGCCGACCAACCTTCTTCTCTTCTTCTCCTACTCCTCCCTCTTCTCTCCTTCCCTCTCTCATCTGCAACTCCTCCTTTACGACTATGTTCTAGGAGTGTTCTTCCTCCTGTCTCTCCTTCTTCTCCTTCTCGAGTTCCTCCATTTTCTCAGTTCGTCCTCCTTTCCTCTCCCTCCAATGACCGGGGAGGCCTACATTCGTCGGCTCATCGATCCTCCCTACCGAACCCCTCTCCTTCTCCGCCAGCATTCCTGACCCTCTCCCAAGTATCCAGACGTTTGACCGCTCGAGGGTTGCCTGGCAGCTTGCGTTAGATGGTTGCTAGGATCACTGGCCGTTGCTGACATGAGTTGGGATCACCCTGTCCACAGGTATGCCGTTTCCCCCTAGAACCTCCTCCTCTTCGTCCTAGCTCCGGCGGGGCCATTCTCGTATCTGTCAAATCCCTGCGGCTTCGCTCAATCTTTCTTCTGTTGTCGTGGGTCGTCTTTGTGGCATTGCATTACCCTCCGTTGTGATCATATTGCTGGTTGCCCATATACCCCATACAATACCGCAACTCGTGGGCCGTGGTGTCTGTCGACGGAGCTCCTCCGCCTCTGCACCGGCGAATCCTCTCGAAGATGTTGCTAACAGAACCGTCCGTCATGTTTAGCTTCAGCTATCCCAACGGTGAACCTCAGACCCCCACGAGGACTCCTCCGACGACCATCTTTGGGGATTCCGCCTTCCAGACCCCCAAACTTGAATCAAGCTTCTTCGATCCCCGAGTGACTTGGGACACCTCCGATCCATACGCCTCCAGTCCTGAATTTCTCCGAACGCCCCAGAAGTTTGGCCTAAGCACTCCGTCCAACCGTCCGCTCCGACTCCCCGAGACAGTCCCTGAGCAACCCACGGACCAGGATAGCCTCAATGCACAAAGTACCAAGCCGGTAGACCAACAGTCTGACACAGCCAAGCGCATCCGAGCCGCAAAACCCACGGGGAATAATCTTGACGATGGGCCACGCACAGTAGGCTCGGCCAAGTCTGCTGCCTCCATGCAGACCCCTCCCCCAAGCAGTGCTTCCAGGAGGAAGATCACCGGGTTGGGAGACGAAGATGGGACAGGGCGGCGACCCTCGGCGTCCAGCGTCATCGGCACGCATCTAGAGACCCCGAGTCGGCTGATGGGCGCTTCTCCCCGTCTCTTTGGAGACCTGCAGACCTCCCCGGACCCGTTCCAGCTCGCATCCATTGATCCCTCGGCGTCGCCCTTCTTCCCTCAGCAGCGCTTATTCTGGGACCATGACCTTCCTCAGCAACACGAGGACCTGGGCCTATCTGGAAGTAATATGAACGGGTTCGGGACCACAACAGACACCTTCCCCAACCATCCACCCCTCCATGATGCTCGCATCCCACAGCTTCCCTCCATTGAAGGCAGTCTCGACCTCCCGGATTTCAGCCACAACAACCTGTATGGTCTATCATCCGGAGCGACTACCGATGCCGCCTTATTTCCGGCTCCTTTCTCGACCTCTCCCCGTCTCCCGACCACTAAGGCGGAAGATCCAGCCATGTTTTTGAGCTCTCCGGCACGCCGGTTTGGCGGGCCCCAGCCTACCCCGGAAAAGAGACTCTTTTCGCGGCCACCCCGACAGCCATACCACCATCAGACCGAAGAATCCAAGCGGGAGCAACTGCGTCGATCTCAGAGCGTGCATCGTCAACTTCCCGCGTACGATGATGAAGAGGAGGATGATGATTTCACCCCTCGACAGGCTCGACCGACCTTGACTCGAAGTCTCACCCATAGTGCGATTAGCGCCCACCGTCCCGGACTCGGGGGCATGACATCCACCAGCGGCATCCGGAAGAGCCCATCTAAGGGTCGTCTTTCTCCGACGAAACCCCGTCAGCCTCTCTCTCGGGCCAACTCGGTGGCTGGCACTATTCCCACCCGCTCTCAGTCCGTGATCCTCAAGATCGGAAAGGATGGACGGGCAAAGACAGAAATGCAGCCCGTCCCCGAAGCGACCACCGGTTTGACGGATCCGATTACGGCCATGGATCTGGAGGGATCAACCACCGAGAGTGAATATGACTCGGCAGAGTTTTCAGAATACCCTGCAATGGGTAGTCGGACTCCGTCGTTCGCTTTCTCTGATGCGGGTCGCCCGATGCTCGCGCGCAGTGACTCCGGCTCCCGGCCGCATTCAAAAGGCTCCTATACCTCGACCGCGGCGTCCTCTCACTCCGGACGGGTGTCGCCCTGGAGCGGAGCGCCTCGCGGGCCAGTCCGTCGGCCAACATACCGGACGCTCGGCGATGACTGGAAGCGAACCCCTAAGCGGCAATCCATGATCGGCTCGGATTTGTCTTACCGCAGCGCCAGCTCTATCCCAGCTCCCCGCGCGGATTCGGAGGAGGATACGGGCGATGCCCAGCACGCCCTTCGGAAGGTCCTTCGGGAGAAGGGCCGGATGTCTCGACCGCATACGGTGAACTATGGCTCGCGGTATAACCGCTCCTCCCGGTCGTTGGCCCATCTCCGCTCGTCTCCGCCCCGGTTTGGCGGCGAGCCGGACTTTGGACTACGGGACATGAACACGTCTCCCACGACCATGACGGATCCTGACTTGGCCACCCCAAGCATCGACCGATATAGTAATCCCAGCAACGGGACGCGCTGTATCTGTAACTCGATGGACAATGGGGGCCACCTGATGATTCAATGGTAGGTCTTCCATCGTCTTCGTCCACCGCTATCGCTAACTTAGCCCAGTGAATCCTGCAGCCACTGGTTACACACCAAATGTGTAGGATTAGAACGAGCCAACCTCCCCTCGGTCTACGTGTGCGTGTTCTGTGCGCAAACCCCGACTCGCCGAAACCGTGTCAGGGTGCCGGTTAACAACATCGGCCATGTTCCAACATCACCCTTAGCTCACAAATCCTATCGATTCCGATGAAGATCGGTTGTTCATGGTAGACGACGACCAAGCATGTCACATCATGAACCCAAGTTAACTTTCTCTTGCCTGAGTTTCCTTTGTGCAATCCTCAACTAGACATACCCCTTTACTTTTCTTGTGCGATGCATCATCCACCATGTCCGTGTGGACTGGCGTTATGTTTGCCATACATCACCTGTTTCCTAATTTTGTATTAATTGGCGGGCCAGGAGGCCTGTGAGATACCTTGACATGTGTACCTAACCGACTAGGTAGAGATGAATCCAGCGTGTATGAATATGACAAAATCCTCCTAGAGCGATATATATTAGTGGCAAGGCATGTTGATTGAGATGAGGATATCTCGAATTGGACCTGCAGGTGGGATTGGATATTGAGGCGTGTTGATTCTACTGTACTCCCAGCGATCAGTCTTGGTCCTCGAGAACCTGCTCGTCTGCAGGTACTGAACTCCGTAAAACATCCCCCTTGATGCATTCCAAAAGATGCAAGATCCGGCCTCGAAAATACAACCCACTATTGCAATACCAGTCCTCTTGCAACAACAGCTCGTGCAGCCCAAGACAGAAGTATGCCCAGTCGATGTGCGTCCCTGCTTTGACCAAGTCTTGCACCTCAAACACAAGGTCCGGGCTGCAGCGGCTCCGCCAGTATGAATCAGGGAGTCTCCATTGAAATGCCTCCATCACGCTGCGAACATCGTGGATCCTCTCGCGACAGGGTGGACGGCTCTGCCAGATCGTATCAATAATGGTCTTTATGATTTCAGCAGGGACATTAGCGACAGTAGCACGCAGCTTCGCGGCGTGGCCAAGGGATTTCTCGTGTGCTGCCGTTGCCCTCGTACTCAAACTCTGGATATCCCGAATGATAAGTGGGCTCGCGGACACATGGCTGCGGTCTAACGGCATTGCAGAACATGGCGGACAGTTTTGCCTAATCCAGGGTGCCGCATTGTCATAACAGGGATATTCACGAGTGGGGTGACGGAGATCCGGCATCCAAAGCGTTCTGTCAGCTCTCCAATACGTCTCGATGGCTTGCACAAATGCTCGCAGGTCCTGCTTCACGATGTCGTGACCCAGAAACCGATCCACTAGGAGCCAGCAGTGCGGGTGCATGGTGTATCCCACACGCTCCCCGTTCTCCCTATTCCAGTCCGTCTCGAAGAGATTGGCCATATGAAACTTCACGGTCCACTTCGGATGCGCCGTTAGAGGTCCAGGAAAGAATACGGCCTTCTCGGGGTCGGTCATTATGGGAGCGGGGTGCTTCTCCTTCCTTGCTTCCATAATGATGTGTGGAGATATTCCAGATATCGTAAGGCGACCACGCTTTGGATCATCGAGGACTAAGGGGTCTTGCATGAGGTGCGCACGGCAGAAGATGGAGTTTCGTATATATCACTCACTTGCACGGTAAAAACAAGCCCACATCGGCAAATCCGTCTCCAGATCCAACTGTTCAACCTCGGATGCAGGCACTATGAGCCTCTTTTCCTTGTTGGATTTTTGGGCTGCCCACGCGCCCCATGCTTCATGCGCTTCCCTTAATTCTCGTCCGTCATATAAGGCAACTTCTATTCCACAAAGTATGCAACAGACGAACGGCTCCCGGTTGATCGACATCTTGGAGATGTTATCAGAAAGCAGGACAATGTTGAAATTTAAGCCCAATTCGTGTGTATGGGCATGGTTGAATGGATGGCGCGGTGCGAAGAACTTTGACAACGGTCTATGGCATCATGATGATCCTTTCAGTAAGCAGACTGCTCTTTACAGAACTATGCTTACATCGAGTGCCCTTACCATCGTTGCAGGAATTGAGACGAGGTATTAATCTTGAATGATTGAACAACGTGACATTATCGACAAGGATAAGACTGACGGACCTTTTCATACTCCGGCAATGCCCATTTGACCATCCATTCATTAGCAAGCACCTCCTTATCTGTAGGAAGCCCGGTTTATCGGCGTTCCATCCTCGCTGAATTTGTTTCGCCGACCCTCCCATTTCATCCACCACTCTGGGGGCAAAATGCCGAGGGCGTCCACATGCTCGCAAGTCATGTCATCCTCACTAGCGAGGAATCCTTCAAAGAGTGGGCATTGGGCGATAATGGTCCATATTGTACAGGCCATGGACCAGATATCAGATGGAAAAGAAAGCGGCCGCATGGGTTCAAACCGCGCCTCCGGAGCTTGGTTTGCAAGAGGAGTATGGGATTCAAATCTATCTTCCTTGAAAGGAGAGAAGGCCTCGCCAAAGTCGGATAGTAGAATGTTTGCTTCTGTTTGGCTACATTTGTCACTCTGGAGAGCGCGGCGTACAGCTGCCCGTGGGAGAAGGCTGGAACGCGAAGGTCTACACCTACTTGTGTCAACGACTGTCCCTGACTCTTATTAATCGTCATAGCGAAGCAGAGACGGATTAGGAACTGCACGCGGCGGAGCGTGAAGGATAGTTGGTTTTCGGTCGTCTCCAACGGGACACGGGGGGTCGTGGCATCTCCTACTTGAAATGGAACTATGCAGGCCGTGAAAGAGATAGGAGGATGATACCGAGCCACTCTCCAACTCAGGCTAGGCTACCCAAATGTCGAGCCAAATACATGCTGGCTGGCCAGCCGTACTCCGTATCCGCCACGGAAATATGCACAACGGAACCATTGACCTAATTCCGTGTCTATCATGTTCAAGAATGTAGATCAGCGGCGTCTGTGGGGCGTTTCATCATGGATATTGGATTGACGGTACCGATTGGGCAACCCGATCTATCCGGAGGACTCGCTTTACTCGAGGTTTGGCAGGGTCGTGAGCAGAATGTGCGGTATATAAGAAGGATGTTTTCCGACGTGATGCTGGGGCTGTATCAGGCACTTTTCCAATAACACTGCAGAGAAAGACAGAAGCACATCATGCCCGCATCACTCCAGGCGAAAGTTGCCTTTGTCACCGGAGCCAATGGAATTACCGGCTTCTCAATCATCGAGCATCTTGTACGGCAGCCAAAGGAGGAATGGTACACTCCCCCTCTCCGAGGATTTGAATATCTTTGAGTCCAACTTGCTGACTAGAGCAGGAGCAAAATCGTCATCACCTCGAGACGCCCCCTTCCCAATGCCTGGGTTGATCCTCGCGTTGAGTTTGTGCCAATTGACTTCCTTGAGCCTGCTGAAGCCATTGGATCGAAGCTGAAGGATATTTGCGCCGACGTCACCCATGCCTTCTTCACCTCGTACGTTCACGACGATGATTTCAAGGTCTTGAAGGAGAAGAATATACCGCTCTTCCGCAACTTCCTAGACGCGATCGATGCGGTGTGCCCCAAGCTGCAGCGTGTGTGCCTCCAGACTGGCGGCAAGGTACGTTGAAACAATTCATAATTCATTCCATCAATGGAGCATGATCCGGCTGACTGGATCAGTACTATGGTGTCCACCTTGGACCTGTCAAGGTTCCCTTGGAAGAGTCTTTCCCCCGCTACGATGACAAGGGCTTCAACTTCTACTACGCGCAAGAGGATTATCTGCGTGAAGTTCAACAGCGCCGCAACCAATGGTCCTGGAACGTTATTCGGCCCAATGCCATTAACGGCTATGCTCCTCATGGTACGCAACTGTCGCTCCCGCCCTCCACTTGTCTAACAACCTGTTAACAACTACAAGCGAATGGGATGTCTGAAGTTCTGACAATCATCATCTACATGCTCATATGCCATGAGCTTAAGCAGCCAGCCCACTTCCCTGGCAACGAGTACTTTTGGAACGCCATTGACGACTGTTCCTACGCCCCAAGCTTGGCTGACCTCTCCGTCTGGGCCGCGACCGCCGAAAACACCAAAGATGAAGCTTTTAACCATGTGAATGGCGATGTTTTTGTCTGGAAGCACATGTGGCAGGATTTGGCTGCTTACTTTGGTCTTGAAGTGCCCGAACCGGAGTTCAAGAAGGCTGCTGGTCAAGCTAGCACGCTTGCTAATGAAATCGACATGGTAGAGTGGGCCAAGGATAAGAAACCTGTCTGGGAAAGGGTTGTTGCCAAGTACGGAGGCAAAGTTGAGACTTTTGATTGGGGAACCTGGGGCTTCTTCAACTGGGCGACGGGAAAGAGCTGGTTGACTATCTCGTCAATGAACAAGGCGAGGAAATTCGGGTGGCATCGTACTGACAACACTTTTGATGCCTGGATTGAGACTTATCGATCTTTTGAGAACGCCGGGGTCTTGCCTTCTAGGCGGGCTCTGATGGGAAACTAAGCATGTCTTGAGTGCCTTGCCAGTTTGCCGGGGGGGTATCGTCAAAATAGAGAAAAATAGTAATGCTTAGAGTTACTGTCGCAAATTCAGAGATATCTCTTCAGGCGTCCTAGTCCATTCCATCCTGCTGCTGTGCACACATACTTGGATCTCATCGGGAGTTACATCAGACATGAATTTTCAAGATCTATTTACAGTGCGGAAGAACAGTCATAAGCTGCTAGTATAACTCACCTCATATCTACTATAAGTGCCGGGTCTAGGTAGTCGCCAAAGAGGGTATAGAGCCAGTCGAGATCTTCAGCAGCGTCTTCTTGGTTGTAATTCGTGCCTTGCGCTGAGGGCGTACCGCGCGAAGTAGGACTGCCGCTATCAGCTTGAGCCTGGCGGGTGGTGCCGTGTTCGAAATTGAAATCTTTCACAAAAGGGCCTGTCAAGCATGAAGAATGAGTGCTCGAGGATCCATTTTCCGCCTCGCTGCAATGTGCTTCGACTAGTGGCATAGTCGAAAATTCTTGGTGCGGATATTGCTCCCCACGATCAGGGGCAGATGGAAGATCACATCCTCGCAAGCCCTCGGTGCTTCGAAGATGGGCAGCCCCGCCAAGTCTCTGATAAGCGGTATGCGGCTCTGAGGAATGTGAGACGCGGTGTTCAGTGGTCTCAAACAGCCGAGATATAATCTGCTTCAATTTCACCACCGTCCTGGTGAGCTTGCCGGACACCCAAGCCTTTTGACAGTAAGTTTCAAGAAAGAAGGCTCCCTGTACCACCATTGGCTCGTACTGCTCCTTGAAGACTGGCTCTTTGATCAAAATCCCCAGCGAGATAAGTACTGCACGTAGCAAGTCATGGACAAACGGGAAAGTAAACACCGCCTGCTCCACCGGTAGTCTCATTGACTCCCTAATGACATCTTTTATGATTCGCAAAGACATGGCTGCGTTCTCAAAGGTTGCCAGTTCAAAAGTGGTGCTAAACATAGATCTCTGCAGCATGGGCTTGCGGATCAAAACGCGTAACGAGAGCCATCGCTAGACGGTTTAGTCAGGGTTCATCGAAAGGGACTGGGGCACCTACAATTTGCATGAGAGATTGCTGCTTGGTCAACCACCACGGAGCTGTGGCAGCTTGTGCGTTTGGGTTCGTGTGGGGATGATATCGAAAAATTGGTGGAATCTGATCTTGAACTCCAAACAGCAGGTGCTCGAGGCTCTCGCAGACAGAAGAGTTCAGATAGATGTTGGCACCAGCACCGTATACCGCCTCCCAGACTTTTCCTAGTACCTTGGAGTACTCGACCATGGCAATAAAGTACGGAATGGGGGTCGGGTCAGATGAAGCCTCTAGTTGCGAAGAAGTATGTCCGGTGGATTCTGGCTCTCGATCACCAAAGACCCCCTCCGAAATCCGAGGCAATGGGGTGTTGATGTCGACATCTGAAATTAGAAAAGGATGACCGCCTTCAAGCGCGAGCCGGCGGTCGAGGATGTAGAGACACCACCACACACGACGAGAGTTTTCCGTCTCCGACGGTTCCCTGCTGTAAATGTCCACTTGAGATCGATGCAGCCCTATATGATAGGCATGGGAGATCGCGAGCGCTAAGATCTTCTCTGCCCTGCTGACGATATCTAATCGGAAGAGATAGATTACCTTGGCTCACAAGAATCTGTCAGTAGCGTTGAGCAGCAGAGAAAGAAAAGCCTTCATACCATGAGACTTAATATTTGTAATGATAGGAGCTGGTTGGAGCACTCCTCAAAGCAATCCAGTACGTCGCCAAAAAGCTCCAAGGCAGCACTATAGAAACTCCACCCCGCCGAGTAACGGAAGCCTTGAACAGAAACGCGAGGGGATGCCGTACATTGTCCGATGGCTAGACATATCAAGATTTGGGACAGTGAAACACAACTGTCCCGACTGCACTGCCTGGATTCCAGCGGGCTAGTAATGTGGTCATGCCAGAACAAATCATATCGCTCCAGCAAGTCCCGTAGGTTAAGAAGAGGATATAAGATATGCACCTCGTCACAGAAGATCTTCATAAAGTGATCCCACTGTGGTTTATCAATAATGATGTCGTATTTGTGCAACACCATACAAATATTAGAGATTTCACGAGGCGGCACATGTGCCTTAAGTAATGGAGAAGGAGACAAGGCTGAGCTGGCCACCTCAGATGGCTGGTCTGACTCTATACGTGGATGTTCCTCTAGGTGAGCTTCCACCTGCTTGAGAGTGGACCGGATTGAGGTCTCCCCAAAATAGGTAGGGGTAGGCGGACGAGACAGCGGGCAGGAAGACCTGGATTCCACCGTGTATGTGTTCCCACTCGAGGTTGAGGTTATGGACGCGGACGATTCATGGTCTGTTGTCATCCCGAGAGCCTGTGTGCCGCCGGGGAGTAGTCGCACAAGCCGTTCCAGTTTAGCCACCCGTTCTGATAAATAAACCGTCGTGCTCCTGCGTGTCTCAGTAGGTTGCCTCTATGTAGATAGTCAAGGACATCCACAGACCTGTCATCTTCGCTGCTACAACTCCCCTCCGACTGGCCTGCAGGAGGCTCATCAGTTGGCATACGCCGCCTTTTATTTGGTCGGCTTCGCATATCAACATTGTGCCTATCACAAGATCGTCCGCTAAGGAAGCAGGGGTGGCAGCGAGGCGCGCTGTCGCACTTAAGATACTTTAGTTTAGGCTGGAACTAGACAAAGGACACCATCGTACTTTAATCTTGCGTCGTTGGCACTCGCCGCTAAATAACGCGTAATCCATCGGTCACCCTGCTGATTCTATGTACTTGCGCATGGCTGAAGTGACTTACCACGCCTTTGAGACATATCTGCCCCGCCGCTGTCTCTTGGGCGCTGAATCCGGAGGCCCCTCAATGTCAATCGACAAGCCTTCTGGTCCGTTGCTTGGACCCGTCGATTGCAGCCGTTTTCCTATCATTCTCGCCTTGGGAGAGCCGCACATCTCTAGCTGGCGAGACTCCGTGACAACTTAGGGAACTAGGTTATTTTTTTTTCTTCCTTTCTTTTTCTTGTTGTGGAATGGAATACTGGATCAGAAATGACACCGGCGGGAGAAAAGGGGGCACAATTCACGTGGAGAGAAGCCTCATCGATTGCTATGAACGGAATTTACAGACGGGTTCCATGCAACTGGGCATCGGCATCCTCGGAAGGAGACGGAATCCCGGAAATACACTTGGGCTCAACCATCCCGGATCTGCATTTAGTTACCCAAGCGTTCTCCACTGGTCAGAACTATTGTATGTACGGAGTAGGGTCTGGTGGGTTCAGAAACAGGGTATATTTAAGTATTCACCGGATTCAGGAGCCAGAGAAAGTGAAGATTGTTTGCGTGCGCGTGTGTATTTAGATATCAAAATGTACCTCAAGGCATTCGTCGCTCTTTTGGCTTTCGGGGGCCAAGCATGCGTCGCTCGCAATGCTCCCTATTTGACCCCCACGACCAACCGCACCACCGCGTCAACATCAACAGTCTTTCAACTTGACAAGAATAATACATGGTTTGAGAACCTCGTGGTCCGGCCCAACGGAAGCCTTCTGGCAACACGCCTGGACGTGCCAGACCTTTGGTCCATCTCTCCCGGTTCCAACAACTCTGCAGGATCTGGTCGCCCACTGTACACCTTTCCCAACGCCTCTAGCCTCGTTGGCATTGCTCAGGTCGACATCGACACTTACATCGTCGTCGCCGGAAATGTCTCACTGTCGACCTTCACGGCCGCCCCCTCCTCCTTCGCAATCTGGACCATCGACCTTACGGATTCTGACGCTCCCGTGGCTCGCCGCATCACACATATGCCGGAAGCGGATTTCCTGGACGGTATAACCCGCTTCAATAAAGATATTTTCTTGATAGCCGACACGGCCAAGGGAGAAATCTGGCGCCTCAACATTACTAACGGGGATTACTCGACCGATATTTCGAAGAGCGTGCTGTTACCCGCCTCCTCGGCTAGTAACAAGATCGGGGTCAACGGACTCAAGGTCCGAAAAGGATACGTCTATTTCACGAGCACCACCAAGGCGATTTATGGGCGGATTCCAGTCAACAAGGATGCGATTCAAGTAGGTCCTGTGGAGATTATCACGAGCGGATTCACCCTTGACGACTTCTATTTGGCGCAAGATGGGAGGGCGTACCTCGCTACCAATAGTGAAAACCGGCTGTTCGAGGTGTCGCCCCTTGGTGAGGTGCTCCTTGTCGCAGGCGGGTTGAATGAATTGACGGTCGCGGGATTAACCGCTGTGGCGAGCAGTCAAGATGGAAAAACCCTGTATGTTACCACGAATGGGGGTATGTCTTCGCCAGTTTCTTGTGCCTTAGTTGAGCCGGCAAAGATCGTGGCTGTGAGGATTGAGTGAAGCCAAGAGACTGGATAGGACAACATGTTTGGGTGGTTGGTCTGTGTGCGGTGAGTATATTTTGACTTGCCCTCTCCAAAGTGGCATGTTAGCGGTCTACATGTAAGGGAAGCCTGTCCTGGAGAGATTCAATTGTATTACATACGAAATACTGAGTGTGAGGAAGAGAAAACTACGGAAGGTGAGGCTTATGGATAAGCCATCGAGCTGAAAAAGGAGTTAGGCCAAAAAGAGGAAGTAAGGTCTGGTCACAGTGTTATTTCACCCTCGTGTAAAACATGATTTAGCCGTGTTGAATTGAATAGAGCCGTTGATTATTATCTACTAACAAGAGGTACCCCCGTGCCTGAACAAGTAAACATCCAGATTGGGATCAAGTAAATAAAAGTACTCCGATTGGATGATCGCAAAGGCGGTCAGCCCCCGCGGAGCCCACCGGCCCGGCCATTGCGCAATTCCGATTGGCGGGCGCTTATCGGCACACCGCCTCCGATATGGGGAATTTCATGGTTTTCTTTCGGCGGTTCTTTTCCCCCTCATCTTCTCTCCTTTCAATCTTTCTTCTTGCGTTGCGCTTCATTCGTTTCAGTCGGTCATTTCTCGCCCTCCATGTCGTCTTCGCTGCCGGGAAACCGGGACCTTCCCCCGTCCCAGTATGACCTTTCTACCTATTGGGGTCGTGTGCGCCATGCCGCCGACATCTCAGACCCCAGGTGAGTCACTTCCCGTGTACCTTCAATGGCAACGATCCAAACTGACATCTATCCAGGATGATGTTCGTGTCATCCACGGGTCTCGAGAGCGCCAAGAAGCTCATCTCTTCCTACAAGCAGAACCACGTCCCCGCCATGACGCCCGAGCTGTGGCGCGCGAAGAAGATCGTGGACTCGACCCTGCACCCGGGTATGCCTCTCACCATGCCACTTCCCAAGACCAATCCCGCTCATGTATCCCCCTCCAGACACCGGTGAGCCGGTCTTCCTCCCGTTCCGCATGTCCTGCTATGTGCTCTCCAACCTGGTGGTGACGGCGGGTATGCTCACCCCGGGCCTCAAGACCACCGGCACGCTCCTCTGGCAGATCGCCAACCAGTCGCTCAACGTCGCCATCAACAACGCCAACGCCAACAAGTCCACCCCGCTGTCCGTCTCGCAAATGGCCCAGTCCTACCTGATGGCCGTGTCGGCCTCCTGCTCCGTCGCCCTCGGCCTCAACGCCCTCGTGCCCCGCCTCAAGCGCGTCTCCCCCAATACCAAGCTCATCCTCGGCCGCCTCGTGCCCTTCGCCGCCGTCGCCTCCGCTTCCGCCCTCAACGTCTTCCTCATGCGCGGCGAGGAAATCCGCCAGGGCATCGACGTCTACCCCGTCCTCTCTGACGCGGAGCGCGCCAAGCGCGAGGAGACCGGCGAGCCTGTCCAAAGCCTCGGCAAGAGCAAGAAGGCCGCCACCATCGCCGTCGGCGAGACTGCCATCTCCCGCGTCCTCAACGCTACCCCCATCATGGTCGTGCCTCCGCTCGTCCTCCTGCAGCTCGAGAAGACCGCCTGGCTGCGCGCCCGTCCCCGCATGGTCACCCCCGTCAATCTCGGATTGATCCTGGCCACCTCGCTGTTTGCGCTGCCGCTGGCTCTCGGCGCCTTCCCCCAGCGCCAGGCCATCAGCGCGAGCACCCTCGAAGAGGAGTTCTGGGGCCGTGGTGGTAAGGATGGTCAAGTCGAGTTTAACCGGGGCATGTAAGACGTCCTCTGGATGATGTTGTCTTGTTTATCATTATTTCTTCTACTTTTGGGCCGTTTGTTATACGTTTGGGTTTGGTCGCGTTGCATGGCATGATATCAAGATAGATTATATAGAGCTTTATTTCTGCAGGTTTGCTCGGTAACCGATGACTCATCGGAGTAAATATAAGAGCCATGTTTCCCACGTCAACCACGGAATTCTTTCCAAGTTCACACACTATACAATAGTATCAAGATGGATATAACAACCCCCCGTCTCCGTCTCCGCCCCTTAACCCTCGCCGACGCCAAAGCCGCCCATGAGTTCCGTTGCCGGGAAGAAGTCATGCAATGGAGGTATATCCATCTCCCCCTCCCTCATACCAAGAGACGAAGACTAACACGAAATAAAGCATGAAGAAAACCCCCGACAAAGACCTCGCTGAAACAGAAGCCTGGGTCTCAAAAACCCTCTCCGTCCCCAACCATGTCTTCGCCGTAACAGAGTCACAATCGCCGTCGGATACAATCATCGGCACGATAGGGCTTCGCTTCATGGAGCTCCCGTTTGCATCGTCAGAAGACAATCCCCGCCGCTGGGAACTCGGGTACCAGTTTCATCCGGATGTCTGGGGGAAGGGGTATGCGACTGAGGCCGCGCGGGCGGTGGTCCAGGCGTGGAGACAGGGGGAGATTGGGCGGTTGGAGGAGGAGGGTGAGTGGGCGGGCATGTTGCACGCGGCAACGAACAAGGAGAATGAAGCGAGTCAGCGCGTGTTGCGGAAGTTGGGATTTGAGCGTGCGAGGGAATTTGTGGATCCCATGGGGACAGTGTATGTGGATTATAAGTTTGTTGGATGAAGTACTCCGTATGCAGCGGGGTTCCTGTATATACCATGGGTCTATATGCGATGCAGGTTAAGACATTGTGCGCGGCACGGGATCGTACCCGACTGGCGCCTTGCGGCCTTGGATGACCGATTCAAAATGCTCCGCGAGATTGAGCAGCTCGTCGTCTTGCCACGGTTGACCCATCAATTCCAGACCGATGGGGATCCCCTGCGGTGCGGTAGGAGACGGCGGACTGAATCCGGCTTTACATTGTCAGCACGCATTCATCCATGCGCAAAGGAAACTCACCTGGAAGACAAACGGCTGGCCGCCCCGTCAGTGCAGCCAATAGTCCATTCCGTCCGGGCTGCACCATCGACCCGACAGGCGCGACCAACTGACGCTGGTGTGGATATACAAGTGCGTCGAGATCGTACTTCGTAAAGACATTCTCGACAGAGCGCTTGAGAGCCTCGATGCGGCGCAGCCGCGACTGGTACTCCGCGCTGGAGGTCGTAAACACCCCGTCGTCCTGGAGTGTCTGGTACAGTACAGGGGTGACCGCGTCGCGGTGGTAGAGTCCGCTGGCAACAATGGACGCCAGCGATCGATGCGGGGTGTGTTCGACCGATTGTAGAAAGGCGTCGAAGACCTCTCGGAACTCGAACGCCTGCATGTCCGCCGTCGCTTGTAAGGTGGGTATATCCCATTCCGGGAGGGGAGGGAGCTCGGTAAACTCGATCTTGCAAGATATCTTCTGCTCTCGCATGCGACGCAGCGCATCAGCGATGGTTGAGTTAACGACCGCCCCATCATCTGTGTCAGCGTCGCCAAAATAGTCCCGAAGGATGCCGACACGCAGACGCGGCTTATGGGGCGACGGGGTGCGATGTCGCGAAGGATTCACCGTTGCGGCATCATATCTATCCTCCCCGCGCATCACCCCAAACAAGACTCGTACGTCGGCAACGGTCCGACCCATAGGTCCGACGACGTCCTGCGTCTCCGTCACAGGAACGATACCTCGCCGCGAGACCTGGCCATACGTCGGCCGGAATCCGACGATCGCGCAGGCGGAGGCTGGCGAGCGCAGCGAGTTCATCGTGTCCCCACCGCAGCCGACGAGCCCCATATTGGCGGCCAGTGCGGCGGCGGTGCCCCCGGACGAGCCCCCAGGAGTGCGCGTGGGGTCGTAGGGGTTGAGAGTTTGGCCTTGGATAGAGGACGCGGTCACGCCCTGGAGGCAGAATTCGTGCACATTAGCTTTGGCGAGGATGATGGCACCTTGGGAGAGGAGAGCGTCCACGACTGCGGCGTTCGTCGCGGTTTGGAGGGTCTCCAAGGCCCGGACGCCGGAGGTAGTCCGAAGGCCGGCCGTGGTGTAGGTGTCTTTGAGTATGATGGGAACGCCGTGCAAGCGTGGCAATGGTGTATAGGCACTGCGACAGTCCAGTGCAGCATCTTTCTTCTGGGCTTCTGAGAGCGCGTTGGGGTTAACGGTGATGAGTGCGTGCAGGGTGGGATTGTGTCGAGTGATTTGAGTCAAATACGCTGACACGGTGGCGGCAATCGACGTACGGCCTTGACGGAGAGCAGCATGGAATCTGGAGATGGTGAGGTCGTGAATGCCCATGTCTATGGCAGCGGTAGAAGGTCAGAAAGCGGCGAGGGGATGGATGTTGTGGGGGACATTGACAGGGGCAAATGGATCGTTGCCCTCCTCCTTCATCGTGTGCTCTCGCCGAATGCTGCTCTTCGTAGGCACATATGGGGATTTATTCGAGGTAGCATTCTCATATCTCGCCAATTATAGACTATCATCCATATCTTCGCCTCCCACGCCTGGGAATAGCCAATCCGGTCCCTGCAAAAAAATTGTCTGCTG